ACCTCTGTGACTTAATTGTTAGTTGTTATTATTGTGTGATCTCATTTAAAAATCGTGCCCTCTTTTGTTTGAAGTGGGAACTTTGTTGGCATTTTATTTATTTATTTTTGCTTACTACAATGTTTCTATAAAATTTTTGAGCCCGGATTGATGGGTAATGTGTGCTTCATGGTTAAGTTTATTTGAACTTTAGATTTGGGCTAGTATGAGTGAACTTCATATTATCTCTTGCACTTTTAATATGATTTAGGCTACCGCTAATTCTTATCTTTTTTCTATGTATGTGTATTAAATTCCCGATCGAGTCCGATGGATTCAACTATCTATCTCATTGCATTTCCTAATGGGCCATAAAGGCCTGAAGCTTTATATCTCGAGTCAGCCAACATGGAGTCGTTAAACAGGTCAAACTTGGAGCGGTACAGGGGTTGAAAATTGAAACATGTTTCGGAAGATTAACAACAGGAGATATGGCATGTATACACTGATATACATGATGAATACAGATGCATACATGGTCCAAAATATCGATAATGCAAGTTGAAATTTAGAATTACAGGAAAAAGAAGTAAAAAATGCAAGATTTTAGAGAAATTGGGTTGATATACAGCCTGATGTGCGTAGTTGCACCCTTTTTGCATATATCCAGGCAAAATTGAGCTCAAAGGCCCAAATGAAAACAACCAGCAACCATTTGGATTCAAATGTGCCTAGACCTATTTTGGCAATTTGGATTAGGACAGGTTACAGGAAGTTGGGTCTGATAGCCCAATAATTCTAAAATGTGGGAGGAGGCCCAAGTTTATAATCTCCCTTTCCCCTTTGTTATATTTGACTATTTCTTGTTTAACTAACATTCTATTTTATGGTTTAATTTAATTCAATTTCCACAGATAGCCATTTCATTTTTATCATGTTTAAATTAAAATATCTATATATTTGGCTCTATTTTTATTAATCTTGTCAACTCTTGGGGTCACTTCCCTTTAGAATGACCCTCCTTTAACTTATTTTTCCTTAAAATAATTAATTAGAAAAATAATAGTAAGACCCCCCACCCCTTTAATTTATTTCCCATTAATATAATTAATATGAAAAATAATAGTAATAAGTAAATAAAGAATAAAAAAATAATTAAAAAAAATGAGTTCTTTACTAAGTTAAAATAAAGAAAATAATAATAATAATAATAAATAAATAAAAAGCAATTTTATTTTTACTTAGTTAATATTTTCTCAAAATTAGTCAAAGTCGTTAGGAGTTCTTCTACTTAGTTAAAATTTCAAAGTTAGTCAAAATCATTTTTAGTCAAATCGTTCGTCAACCGCGAGTTAGCGAGCATTCCAAGGGCCTAACACCTTCTTGGAATGTACATTGAACTTCGAACCTTTTTATTTTCAATTGATTTTATCTGTTTAAATCTTTTGAAAACCTTTAATTTTTTCTTGATTTTTACTAAAGATTAAGTGGCGACTCTGTTCTTTTGGAAATTCGATTTTTCGAAAACTTGGTCATTTTTCTTTTATTTACATTTTCAAGTAAAACAAATGCAACATTCATATACATACATGTATCATAATGAAGCAAGAACAATAATACATCACACAATCATAGAATCACAACCATCACCTACCTCGAAACAAGCTTGAAACCCTAAGAAACTTGATCCTTCCCTTTCGGATTCGTTCATGTCACGACCCAGACCGTCGTGACTGGCACCCACTCTAACACTCCGGTGCGAGAACCAGTACTACAACTCAAACAAACAAATTTTATGAAAATTAAGGCATTCAAAAATAGGGAAGCATGTTTAAATGACTATAAAAATGGAGTCCCCATAAACTCCAAGGTTTAAACAAATAACTTAATCAAACTAATGCGGAAGAACAACCCATAGAATCTGAAAGTCATTGTACCAAAACTCTACTAATGACAAGTCTAAGAACAAGGGGCATAACCCCGAAACTAAACAAATATCTTAAACAAATAGTCTGAGTCCGAAAAGAATGGACTTAAACAAGAGAGATCCATGGCAGCCTAAAAGAATTAGTTCATCCTCGAATCCAGTCTAGCTCAATAGTCACTTAGCTGAGGTCTATTAATAGTCGCTTGAAGATGCCCTGTACTCAATAAAGAACAAGCAAATGCAGTATCAGTAAACAACCACAGTATACTGGTAGGACCACGCGGCTATCCCAATAAGTGAAACACATGCAAGTAACCACAATCATTATAAAAACAGGCATATACCGAACATTTACAATATTAGTCAACTATTACGAACAACGAACAGTTTCACGATTCTCACATATCACAGTTATATCAATTTAGAGCAACATACCGTCTTCCAATATCAATCATCATTAGATATGAACGAAATCATCACAAGTAGATACACAACACATTTCAATGGTCCTCTCACGGAACCCAATTCAATGGTCCTCTCATGGAACTCACACTCAAACTGTTAGCATATCGGAACGTGGTACCCGATCCAATGTTTATGCCGGAACGTGGCAACCGATTCCATGTTTATGTCGAAACGTGGCAATCGATCCCATATTTATGCCGAAACGTGAACCGATCCAAGTTAGTGTCGAAACGCAACACCCGATCCATTCAACAAACCACAATCACAATCACATTGTATATTCTCACAATTATACAACAAGAGGTGATTCATGACATACAATTATTCAATTATCCTCAATTATGATTAGGGTGATCAATAATGCAACATTCGCATACATACATGCATTATAATGAGCAATTATAAACATCTATCACACCAACATGAAATCACAACCATCACCTACCTCTAATCCAAGCTTGAATCCTCTAAGGCACTTGAATCTTCCCTTTGCGGATTCTTCCCGCTTGTTTGTGGTCTAAAAACATACAATTAACGCAAAGATCAATAAACGAGGCCTAATTACTTAGATTATAATCAACATTATTAACCCTAGAACAACCCAAGATCCCAATACCCAAATTAGGGTTTTTTTTCCACCATTAACTTCAGATCAAAACCTTTCCATAATGATAATTACCCAAGAAACTACGTTCTACGGATTGAAAAACGGATTCGAGGAGTTAAAACCTTACCTTTAGACTCAAGAATGATGAAAAACAGTCAAGAACTCGTCTGGGGTCGTTCATTAGCTCTCAATGCTGAAAAGTGCATAATAAAGACGTTTTGGGGTTTATTAACGACCTTAAGTCGCGTCGAACCCGCCATAGCAGTCCTTACCCTGCTACTGGCGGTAGAAATCCCGCCCCAACGGCTTGCACGGAACTAGTGAGCTATTTTAATAATTCCAAGACCCCCATTTCACAACACACATTTAACCAACGACGCTAAAAAATATCGTTCATGCTAAGATCGATTTCTGTAGTTCTACTCACCTGAATTCAATTTCATAAAGTCGTGCAGATTTCTTAACGTCTTAGCTTTCTACTCATGTGATCAAAATCATAATTAGATCACCCAATTACTACCAGATTTTCCTAGACCTTACTGACTCCGATTTCGTCAAAATCTGGACTAGGCTAGGAAATCCCAAGTTACTACCAAAAAGTTTTCTGACCCCAATTCTTTCCCCATTAGATTTTCTCTAACGACGGAATCTGGTCGTTACAGTTTCACTTGTTCTTGGTCTTCAAGCAATCATAATAACACGGGAATCAATAAACAATCACTAATTACACGAACTACCAACAATTTTATGAACCCTAGATCAAACTCATGATCCCAATTATCCAAAATAGGGATGTTTTCACCATAGAATCTAGATCAAAACCCTCCCCTGTCGATAATTACCCATTCTATTACGTTCTACGGATCGAAAAACGGATTCGAAGAGTGAAAAGCTTACCTTTAGCCTCAAGAATGGTGGAAAACTGTTAGGGGTCGCCTGAGGTTTGTTCCTCAGCTCTAAAAATTGAAAAGTGCAGAATGAGGTCGTTTAGGGGTTTATTTACGACTTTAAATCGCGTCGAACCCGCCACAGCGACCCTCATCCCGCTCTAGTGGCCCCGCCAAAGCGGCCAAAACCCCCGCCAAGGCGGCTTGCACGAACGAGTGAGCTATTTAAAGAATTCCAAAATCTCCATTTCACAACACACCTCTAACCCACGACGCTCAGAAAATACCCTTCACGCTAAGATCAATTCCGGAAGTTCTACTCTTCCGAATTCAATTCCGAAAAGTCGTACAGATTCCTTAACGAGTTATCTAACCACTCATGTAATCAAAATCATAAATAAATCACCCGATTGTTATCAGATTTTCCTACACCTTAAAGACTCTGATTTCGTCCAAATCTAGACAAGGTTAGGAAATTCCAAGTTACTACAAAAAAGTTTTCCGACCCAAAAAATTTTCCCATTGGCTTTTCTATAACGACAAAACATGATCGTTACATAATCAAAAAATTAGCAAATAAATACATGTATTTTCTATATTGTTATGTTTTGTAATTAAAATTTTATTTTGTAAATAAAAAAATAGATATATTTATTATAAATTAAGATCTTAAACACAATATTTTTGTTATTGTTCATATTATAAAAAAAACATTATTTATTTCAGAAATAGTTTTAAAACATCACAATTTTTCCTCATATTTCTTTAAACTTCGTAATTGATCAAAACTAACTCAAATAAATTGAAACAAAAAAGCAATTACTATGTAACAAACACTCATGACCACAAAATGTCGATAGTATTATAAGCATAGAAAATCCAAAAGGAGCTCTAACCACATATTATTAAAAGAGTAGACATTTTTGTGATATTAGGTAAGCATTAATTTTGACAATTAGCTAGATTGAATATTTACATGATCAAGAAGAATTCAACATAAATTAATCTCTACAATTATTTATAGAGACTTTGATTAATAAAATAACTTCTTTCTTTCCCAAAAATATACTATTTATATATTATATATAATAAAAAGAGAAATGATGAGCAGTGTTTTCACAATTTCAAGTCAGACTCAATCATCTGATGAGAAGAACTGAGAACTTAGATTATCCATAACAGCTAACTGCATATTCTCTGATGGTTTCCAATGTCTCTTCCTTTGATTTATAAACCAATTGTTGATCTGCTTTGGATCAAGTCCTGTTGAATCTGCTAGTGAATTCTTATCAGCCTCCTATAATCAAAATTTCAACACAACATTCTTTATCATCTCACGTAACTAAAATATGTATTAAGTTATGAGTCTATTCACGTAATAATTTATCCAAGATAAAAGATCAAATAACTGATTAATGAACTAACAGTTGCATAACCCTAATTTATATGTACACGTCCATACACTAAATTGTGGATAAAACCAATGTTATGAATGGTTAGAAGTTTTGGAAAAGATCAGAAGTGCACCAATATTGCGAACATAAGAAACTATTAGTATATCTTGGGAAAAACAACGATGACTTTAAATCTCAACCCAAAAATAAGGGATTATTTTAGGTTTAATCTCAAATAATCAATGCAGAACCTAGTAAACATAAAAATTATAATCTACAATCCATAAATTTAAAATCTTTAAACCACCTCTCTATGAAAGAACCTAAAAAGTATTACACCCTCCATCTCAATTTATGTTACACATTTCAAATTTCGAGATTCAAACTGATCTATTTTTTGCTGTAAAATTTCGTATATCTTTTATATATTTTGGATTGTCAATTATTGCAACCTATAGTACTTTTTACGTACTTTACAAATATATAAATTTCATGTGCAAATTTCCGATCATAGTTAAACTGTTTGACTCTCGACAAACGAAATGTGTCACATAAATTGGGATAAAATAAGTATAAATACAAAGTTTTAAACCAAGATTTTAAATGAAACAAGAAGAATAAGCATTATTTGAGTTGTATGAAAATGCAAAATAGAGAGGTAAAGAAGTACAAACCGTAGGGTAAGGCCATCTAAAGTGATCATCCCACCATGCAAGTAACATTTGCCTTGCCTCTTTTGGTAGCTTCCCTTTCTTCTTTTTCTTTGAAAATTCCAACTTTAGACTACTTAAATGACTCCCAAACTTACGTAGGAGTCTATCTTTGAGTTCATTATCTTCACTTCTCATTGATGCATCTGCCTCACCACAACTTAACTCCTCATCTGATGATACACCACCATCATCTGCCACAATTAATTTACTCCACTTTAGATCAAGATATATAAAGAGAGAGTTTGTTATAAGTTCCTATGTTGCTCGAATTGTTAAAAAATATCAATGAGTGCGTGTCAAATTCTTCAAAAATAATGTATTCCTAAAGTATCCGACACGAGTGTGATAATATTTTTGAAAAGTCCCAGCAACTTAGATAAGCTCTATAAGTGACAGGAGTGACCGCTTTCAAGTCTTAGTTGGTACCACCCCTAGTAAACTTCAGCTTTGAAGGAACACGTTCAAGAAGAATCTAAATTATTTCCAAAGAGCTTGTACACGTGTAAGCTCATTATTCATCTTTTCAATGGAAAGAACTATGTCAATGGGTGCATCACTTAAAAAAATGAGAAAAAGTTCTAAGCGAGAATTGATCCTGGTAGCTAAATAACTCAACATACCATTAATTGCATCATTTAGCCATTTAGAAATATGGATACCATCATATAATATAAGATCAGTTCTAAAAAATATATACATATAATATCTAATTAAATAGAAAGATCATGGTTCACGTGCAACGCAAAATAGGCTATACAATCGCCCCTGATTAATGCAATAGTGGGTTTATTTACTGAGTCATTTGTTTAAAGATTAATGCTATCTTAAAGTTGTAAAGCTTGATATAAAAAATCCATCGACCTGGATGTTGGAGATTACCGCACAAAATTGAAAAAGGAAAGTAGCACATCAAGCACCGCGTCTTTTCAAGTCAACCATAATTGGATCGAGCCCTTGCTTAGCTTTCACATCCGCCACAAAAGATGGTTCGGACCCATTGTGAACCACGATACCACCCTTGGTGGAGTCCACTAATTGAACATTTAATCGGGCCAACCTATGAATATCCCGAACTAAATCTTTCTTATCATTATCTACATGAGCAATACTTCCCATATACAACCTACTTAGAGCATCTGCTACCACATTTGCCTTGTCAGGGTGATAAAGAACACTCATGTCATAATCTTTCAATAGTTCAAGCCACCTCCTTTGGCGAAGATTCAAATCCTTTTGACTAAACATGTATTGTAAACTCTTTTGATCGGTAAACACATCAACATGAACCTCATATAAATAATGCCTCCAAATCTTTAAGGGAAAAACAATCACCACTAATTCAAGATCAATCTGATTTTCAATATAACCTCAAAATCTGATCAAACACGACTCGGGACGACTAGCAGGAGTGGTAAATGGTAATTTCCTAGAAAATTTCAAAATGACCTTCAGGGGCATAACATTTGGCAACATTTGAATACAAATGATTCATAAATAAGACAAGATATTTGGCAAATTTTGTACTTGAGTATGAATTCTCCAGAATAACGATGAATCACAGACTTGAGAGTCCAATTTGAAATGAGAAAATTTTTAGAGAGTGATTTATTCTAATTTATCATATCAAAAACGACGAATCACACACACTCGAGAGTCAAATTTGAAACAAGAGTATGTGTAGAGAGTGATTTATTCTAATTTACCATATCAGAAAAGATCTCCTCTGTCTTTTACTCAATTAAGTTAAATTATATTTGTATTTTTGTATGAAAATAAAAAAAATACGATGAATACAACATATAGAAAATAAAAATATATAGTTGCGGATTGTAAATATTGAAACTGTAGTTAATGGGTCTTAATTAATGCCCAATGTTAGTTGTTTCTGAAAATTTCCATTTCATATTTCACTAAAATGGCAACAATAACATAAATATATCAATAATGAGCAACAAATTTATAACTAGGAGATCTATTAAATGCCCAATTAACACTCTAATTAGGATGCCCATCATTCTCTTCTCCAGCATTGTTGTCATTAGCACCGATATCATTTGCAACATTTCCACTGAGTTGCATCTCCATTTGGTCTAGTTTAGCCCTCTTATCGTTAAATAAATTTAACAACCCTTTGATGTCACAAACATCAAATTCATCAAACTTTTTTTCTTCCCTCAGCAAGTTGGTTGAAGAGGTTCTCCATTTCCTTCTCTTCAGCAATTTTCTCTAATTCCCTGATTTCTTTTTCCCTATTATTCACTATAGATTGAAGGTAGGCTTCATGTTCAACTAACTTGTATTGTCTTTGTTTCTCTGGGCAAGCTAGATAATTAGTTAGTATTTCATTAGCCTCAGTTAAAGACGGCCAAGTAAAATTATCAGTTTCTCCAGGAGTAAAAGATATTATACTAACCTTTACATCATATAGAATAGACAACTCATGTGCTTTCTTACACAATGATGCTAATCTTTCCTCAAGAATTTTTTTTTCTTTCCCTCATCAAGATTTCTAGTGGTCCAACATACCCCCTTTCCAGACATATTTTCTTACACAAAAAGTAAAAGAGTAAAATATGTAAGTGAGTGTCTATCTTTGAATATAAAATAAGAGTTTTTGTGTCACGCCCTGAGCCTACACCTTGGGCGGGACCGGCACTCGGAGACCATTGCTGGCCCCAAGAGAACCCTTGGTCTGGCTGTCTTAACTCAGTGGAAACCTAACTCAACAGAATAACTCAATACAATGAAAGGTCATAAAACAACTCAACTGATAAAATCTGGCACTAAAGGCAACTTGAGTCTCAAAATAGAATATTTATATATATACATAGATGAGAGACTCAATACTTACTGACTAACTGACTGTCTATGAAGCCTCTATAACACTGAGATGGATGTTGGGACAGACCCCGCAACATCCTAATAAAACAAAACTAGGAACACAAAATAACAGAGTCCTCCGAAAAGCAAGGAGGCTCACCACTGACTCTAGAGTGCTCAGCTGGATCAACGGCGAGCTGGATGCTGATCCTGGGTACCTGCGTCTGCATCATAATAAGATGCAGGCCAACTGACATCAGTACACTGAATGTACGAGTATGTGAGCTGGAAAGCTAAACAACAACTTAAGCTTGAAGGAGTACAAATGAATTATTACCTTGGCTCTATTCGACTCATGAATAACTGAACTCAATATATAAAGCAATAAGACACATGCAATACATAAAGCTTGTAAAACAGTGTAAACAACTTAGTTCGTTAAAGATAAAGCAATAACAAACTCAACTTTACTTATATAAAATTAATATAACTTTAGCAGGAGATTCTTTAAACGACAACCACCACTATGAGCCCTAGTGATGATACAACGTTTTACCTCACGTTGCCTAAGGACCATCCTATACCTTGCCGTGATATAGGACCTTACTTTAACTTAGTGGATCCACTAGCTTAACTTACGTGATCATCTAAAAAGAATAACCCATCAAGTCCCTTGTTGGCTACATGGCTCTTATGGAGAGTTGAGTTAATATGAACTCGCGTCCCCAATTCGGTGCTCAATACTACTCCCAAAAATACTTTGGCTCATAAGTGTTTTTAAACACATCTTTCTTTAATTTGAGATAATTGCTCAAAGCTTAGCTTAAAATCTCTTTTTGGAATAGATGTTCCCTTTCTTGCTCAAATGTGAAAACATTTAAAAGCTTCTTTGGGAATACTTAGTTCCCTAATGACTTTTGAGAAATGAACTTGACTCTATTCTCTTGGCTTAACTTGAAACTCTATACTCTTTACTCAACTTGAAACTTGAGCCTTAAAATGAAGTTAAAACGTTCAATAAAGACTCTTTGAAAAACTTTAAAGACTTGCTTTTTAACTTCTAAACTTGACTCTAACTTCACTTGACTTTGATCCGAACCTTCCTCGAATTGGATTATGAATTCAAGGGTAATGATCTCATGTTTATGGATGAGTTCTTGATGTTTAGATGTACCTTAGAGTGTTGAAAACAACTATAAAACATAGGTACATTACCAAGGAACATGCATGAAAAAGTGGGGAGTGAATAGGAAAGATTGGCGTCCTTGGCGCTCTGAGAGGCGCGGGACGCCAGCCTTCAGACTTCAGAGGGGCCTGCTAGGCGCGCCGCCCCAAGGGCTGGACGTCAGAGTCCCTTTCGGGGCGCGCTAGCTGGCGCGACGCCCCAGCCCTGTCCCAGGAAAACTCAACTTTTCTCCTTCATTTTTCCAACTCTAAACCACCTTAACTTCAAAGGTTCTAGCCCCAAACACTTAGAATCATAAAACCCCTCAACAAACAATAGATTAAACTCAAAATCACAACCGGAAACATGTCCCAAATCAACAAGAAACTTCAACACAACCACAAGATTTCAACATGCCACAACCAATCTTTTCTTTGAAATTAAAACGAGTTTGGTGGGTGGGGGGAATGAACCAACCCAACACTATGATCTCACATACCTTAATAGGGATCACCCCCGACGATATCCACAACGATCTTGACGAGCCTTGCTAAATCTCCTCTTTCTCCTCTTCTTTCTCTCTTATCTCCCAAGCCCTAACTCTCACTTTTAAAAGGGAAAAACTGATCTAAAAGCAGTCTAACACCTTAATATAACCAAAAGAATTGGTTAGGGAAAAGACTAAAATACCCTTACAAATTCGGGCTGACTTCCCTGTACCAATAGCCCAACTTCCAAAGGGCATAACTCACTCATACAAACTCGAAATCGAGCAAACTCGGCGGCGTTGGAAAGATCATTCCACAAGCTTCGCAAAAATAATTGTAACTACACCTTACTCATCCTGAGCTGGGAGTTATGATTGTTCAAAGTTGGCCAAAAACTCATTTTTTCCCATACTTAACCAATTTCCCAGATTTTTAAATTCTTTTCAAAATGACTATTTCCAATTCTAAGCCTCTTCATAGTTATTTCAAATTGCCGGATGTCACAATATCTCCCCCTTGGGAACATTCGTCCTCGAATGAGATTACTCTTACTAGAATAAAGGTGTAACATCAAACTCAAACACCCAACAAGCAATCATGCAAACAACAACAACAACATGCTCACTACAATTTAAAGAGCACTAAGAAGGAGATTAATACCTTAATTTGCATTTTCGCCGGATTCAAAGAGATGTGGATATCTCTTCTTCATTTCCTC